CGACTCTTTCCTCATTTATACTAGAAACAAGAACTCAAGCAAAAAGGATTTCTATGAACGTTCTTCTTCTAGGAAAGGTCAAGTGATGTGAAGACAAAAAGGTTATAACTACTTTGCAAACATGGTCTTCAAAGTGCAAACGTCTTGGACTTTTGTGCCTATAAAAGCAAAACTTCAACATCTTTCTCAAGTTGACGATTATTGAAAGAAATTCATTGAAAAGCTCTCATACAAATTATTCTCTTTGCTGAATTTATTTCATATAGTTCTTAAACTTAAGTGTAAATCACAGTTGTGATACAACTTACTTAGAAGCATTCAAACACTTGTTTAGTTTTACATTTGATTGTAAAAGTTCCTTGAGAAGACCCAGTTGTGGTCAGTAGTTCTTGAGAAGACTAAGAACAGTTTCTCTTAGTGTTTGCTATTGTAATCAGTTAGATTAATAGTGGATTAAGTCCTTGTGGAGAAAGACAAATCACTCTTGATAGGGTGGACTGGAGTAGTTGAGTTCAACGAACCAGGATAAAAATCTTTGTGTTCTTATTGCCTCATAATATTTTATTTATACTTATTCAACCCCCCCTTCTAAGTACTTTTTCACCTTCAGGTTTAACCGATCTCCAAAAGTCATTAAAGGAGTTTCAATAAAATTAAATCATGATGGGAGTGGGCAATGAATATGTTTATACAGATATTTTTGTTTGTTATTATACTCTTATGTTCAAGATTAGTTCTTATAACGAGTTCATGATCATTTAAATCTTCAAGCATGGAAAACCTGTTGCAAGCATTTGTAATCCAAATTAAATTGAAGCATATTGTTCAAAGTGCTCCAAAAATTAAAGCTTGTTAGATCTTCTTTCCAAAGCGTGGTTTTCACGGGAGGCTTACGGTTATGAAGAGGGTTATGGAGAAGTTTTCAACACATAAATTGTTTAATATTGGAGAACTAGTCACTGATGTTTTGTTCTGCGACATAACTCTTTTATATATAAGATTCATATACTTTTCCATAGTAAAGAGTACAAATGGAAAACAATTCTAAGAAAACATCTCAGCCATCACCACATTCATATATCTAAGTTAATTACATCATTACAAGTGTTCTTTAGTATATCCAAAACTACAAGCTTGAACCTAATTCTTGAAATTATTTGTTGTTCCACTATTTGATGCATCAAATTAACAAAGAAGATTCAAATGCCTCTGAATCCTAAGTTAACACACAATGTATCTTTTCTCTCCCTGGTTTAGAGGTGCTCCATTGAAGGACCTTTAGGATAATCATCATAGAATTCTACCGCCTACTTTTTCTGGTTGTGAGTGAGGATGATAGTTGCATTAACAAGTTGTCGTTCCATGGTTTTATGTGATAACAACCTCCACTGTCAAAATTCACTAATCACAATGTAGCCACACATCTTCAAATCTTGACTCCAATATAAAGGACAACAAAGTGAAGGAAAATTGCGATCTAAACGCAGCGGAAAACAAAAATTTCCTTTAGTGATCCTTACGAATGAGCATGGTCAGTGATGGAATCGTTACCTCTTTGTGGCGATTCAGATCTTTGATGCAGCGATCACAAGCGTTGATGAAGTGCAACGCCTCTACTCAGTCCACACGAACAGCTTCCGGTCACAGTGCTAGCTGCTTACGAACGGAATTATTTGAGTGAGAAAAGAGAATCAAAAACGAAATTGCATCAAGTGAAAGCTTCATCACAAGGGTTCCTTTTATAGACTCTCTTGTGGGTTGCGGGCTAAAAACCCAATTCACATGATCCATAATAATATTATATATTATTATAATAACTATTATTATAATAAATATATTTATTTTATTATTATTTTATAACCATTATAAAATAACAATAATTATTATTATATTATCCGAATTTCTATTTTTCACTTAAGTGCACCGTACCTTACGGTGTTCCTTTGATTTCTCTATCTCTCATCAAACTGTCCTTATGTGTGTGACCCTGTAGGATTTCGTAACGTTGGTAATTATATTAAATTATATATTTAACATAATAAACAGTAAGCGGTATCTAGCAACACATCACTGCTACCCAAGTCACGAAAATGTCATGTGATCTGACAAAACTTTTTTCGTGATAATATATGTTTGTACAATTACCCTTTTGCCCCTATGTCTATATTGAACACAAGGCATACACTGTGTCATCCTTGTCCAGTTCAATATTGGGCCCTTAGACATTTCTCCTGTTATGCAGGATTGACAAATTCCATCTAGGACACTCATGTCCCTCAGCATGCTTCGTGGAGTGCCCATCAACTGTCTTTATGATCATCCAGTTACGGATAATGTTTGATCAGCAATAAAGCACCCGACTCTACATCTAGGGTCCATAGTGGTTTCAGGTCGAAGGGTGGTAATACACCATTATCACCATGAGAATAACTTATGACACTTTGCATAACATACTATGTAGTATTCTCATAGCGGGTCAATCCGGTATAAATATTACTCCTAATATTTATACCTATGTCAAGACTTGATAACTCTTTATCCATGATCCATGAGATGTGATCATCAGTCTATCTTCATAATAGTCTCAATGTTTTTAATGTTATCCCACTTTGCAATAAAGCTTGACTACGGATATTTTAAGAATAATGTCTTTATGTTTAATGGGATCTCATGATTAAGTCACACTTAACATTTCATTAAACAAACTAACTATTCTAGGGACTTTATTATTCTGAAAGACAAACATAATAAAGAAATGCCTTTTATTATTAAACGAATAATCCGATACAAGTACCAAAAAGTATTGGCCTCTAGGGCTTACACCAACACAAAGTATTTCAATTCAAAGTGGAACTCCATGACATTTGAATAAAGTTCTTCATCTTTTGTTCCATGACGAAATGTTGTTGCCATTGGTTTCTAAAAAGTAGAAATAAGGCTCTTAGAATCTGTCCCGCCGCCGTACTGATAGATAATCGAGTGTAACAGACATGTTAATTGGTCTTCAATTTATCTCATTCGCAGAAGAAACCTGCACGTACAATTAGTTGTCAGCAATGCAAGTAGAACCATACTTCAGTGGCCAAACCTTACATGTTTTCATTCCTTCCGCCAACGACTTGTTTTGAAGCATCACTGAGAGAATAGAAAAGAGGATCAAGAAGTCATAGCCATCATTACGAAATCAGAATGAGAATCAATTTCAATGAAAATTGTTTAAAATTATTTTTGCAGAAATTTGATTCATTTAAATATGATTTATGTATTTTTTTTCCTACCACTGTAACTTTTTCGTATAAATTTTTTTCTAGATATCACGATGACTAAATTAATTGTAACTATATGCCAATTCATATTTATAAAAAAAAATATAAACATTCACAAATTTAAAATTAACTATATGTCAATTCATATTTATAAAAATATAAACATTCACAAATTTAAAATTTGAAAACATTCTTATACTTATGAGATTATCAAAATTTAAATAAATATAATTTTTTTTACAAAACATATATTAATACTTCTCTTTTAAAAACACAAAGATTATCCTGAGAGCTAGATGTGAAGAAAATGGAATTAGTGAAAAATTATAAAACATTATAAAAATTATATTAAACTAGATTAAAACAAATTGTTAATAGTTTAATTTATTAGTTTGATCATATTATTTAACTAAAAATAAAAACAACTTATATTTAATATACAGTTATATAATAAAATTCAATTATACATTAAAAACAATATTTTTTATTATTTTTATAATAGCTAATGATCAATTATAAAACACAATATAAAAGAATGCTATGGTCGTGGGTTCAATCCATAACCCTTGATCCATTTTAGCACCTTAAAAAAAAACAAATTTAAGAAAATGTAGTGGTAGTTGGTTGAACCTACAATCTTATTTCAGAAAACAAAATAATGAAATAATGAGCTATATCAATAGATTAAATTTACTATTGCACAAATAATAATATATACTATATATATACTAATGTTATACTTTTATCATGAGATCCTAAAAGATGTGAGGTCATGTGTTGTGGCTTTTAATGTACATATACAGAGAGTTCATATCCATATTCATATTTGTATATTTTAATAGATATTTGTCTATGTTCATGTTCTTATTTATTTTGCAAATTTTTATTCTATTTTATTATGAGTAATTTTTACGAATAAAAAAGATCAGTCAAATTATCATTTCTACTTTTACATTTGACAGATATGAGATAAGAAATTTTGTCTGAAAAAATGGTAGAATTACAAAGGCAAGGATGATATTTTAGGAATAAATATAAGAAAGAATAGTATGACTGTAAAAAAAATTCAAATTTTGATCCCAACTATCTAAAACTATACAATGATTTTCAATTAAAGCATATTAATTTTCTGACTAAAATTAATGCAAATAATTTTCTGACTAAAGTTAATGCAAATAATTTTCTTAATGTGTTTTCAATGCATATAATTTCATAATCAAACTTAAATAACTTTAAATTTTACATATACGGTAAGTGAGTCAATTAAAAATCAAACTCAATTTAATTTCTTTTTTGGGTCAAGTAAATCAATTTAAATTGTGTACAAGGGAGAAGAGAAAATAGTAGAGGCGCCATAACCTGGCTGGCTTCATTAACTCCTCTCACACAACGGCTCATTCATTCGGCTGAAACGGGAAACCGTTTCATCTCTAGCAAGCTGTCGTTTCAATTCCATCCAACCACATAAAGCCACGTGTCACATAATTAATGCGTTCCAAACACGCTAAAGAGAAAGGAAAAAGGAAAAAAAAACTAGAAAGCGGTTTCGTTGTTATCTTCGTTCCACGCCTCTCTCACCCCATGGAAACCCTCCCCATTCATAACACTTTCAATTTCATTTCTAAAAACTTTCTTTCGTTTCTCTTCATTTTTTGAAAAGTGTTTATGATTTTTGGGGTGTTTGATTTGAATTTGAATCAGATTTTGATTTTTTGAGATCTGGATTAAATTATTATGTCTACAGAGACGATTTCTTATTGGTGTTATAGATGCAGTCGTTTTGTGAGGTTAGGGAGACAAGAAACGGTGGTTTGCCCTGATTGTGACAGCGGTTTCCTCGAGGAAGTTGATCAACCGTCGCGCTCTATCTCCCGCCGCCGACGTTTTCCGGCTGCAGCCATGTATATGATCGGTCAACGTCCTGGTTCTGGTTCTGATCATAATCATAATTTCCGTCCGCCTTCTTTCCGAAGTACTCGCCGGAACGGTGGTGACCGGTCTCCTTTCAATCCAGTTATTGTCCTTCGCGGAGGTGGTGGATCGATGGAGGCTACAGAAGGAGACAACAATAACAATAACAATAACAACGGCGGTGTTGTTGTTGGAGGTGGTGGAGGGAGCCGTGGGTTTGAGCTTTTCTATGATGACGGTGCTGGTTCTGGATTAAGGCCTTTGCCTCCGAGTATGTCAGAGTTTCTTCTTGGATCTGGATTTGATAGATTGTTGGAGCAACTTTCTCATATTGAAATCAATGGGATTTCTAGATATGAAAATCCTCCGGCGACAAAAGCCGCTATTGATTCTTTACCGACAATTGAAATTGACAAGACTCATTTGGAAATGGAATCGCACTGTGCAGTTTGCAAGGAAGCTTTTGAATTAAACACTGTTGTTAGAGAAATGCCTTGTAAGCATATTTATCATCCTGAATGTATTTTACCTTGGCTTGCACTTCATAATTCTTGCCCTGTTTGTCGTCATGAGTTACGGTCTGATTCGGACGCCGGAACAAATGTTCAATCAGAATTGCAATCACAAGCACAGCCACTGCCGCAAACGCAGACGCACTCACAGTTGCCTGGTTTGAATGAGGAAGAGAATAATGTTGGGTTAACTATATGGAGATTACCTGGTGGTGGTTTTGCTGTGGGGAGATTTTCGGGTGGGAGAAGAGGTGCTGAGAGGGAGCTTCCTGTTGTTTATACTGAAATGGATGGTGGGTTTAATAATGGTGGTGAACCGAGGAGGATTTCTTGGTCTTCTATTGGGAGTAGAGGGAGGGAGAGAGGTGGTGGTTTGAGAAGGTTTTTTGGGAGTTTATTGGGTTGTTTTGGCGGTGGAGTTGAGAATCAACGAGTCGTTTCGAGTAGAGAGACGAGGTCTTTGAGAACTAATTCTTCTCATTCTTTAGGTATGGATCCATCTCAGCGGTCGCGAAGGACTTGGTCTATGGATGTAAACAGTGGAATGAGATCATGGTAGATTCTAGATTGATGTTATATTGGGAAGCTAAAACTTGTAACTTAGTTTTTAGCTTCCTTCTTATTTGTTGATCAAAGTTGAAGTACATAACGAAAATGATTGAATTCAAGGTGCACAATGCAACCATTATGACATTTTTTGCTGCAAATAATTTTGTAATGTCGGATGGTGAATTTTAGTTCTATGTTTCCTCATTCTGAATTGGCATCAATTTACAATGGACATGTGAAGCAGCATCAATTGAAGAAAAGTCAAAAAACAATGGAGGAGAACCTAGTAGAACGACGAAAACCTGTGCGGTATCTTGTCAATCTTTTGTGGGGGGAAAGGGGGTGGGGGGAATGATTATCAGTGCCTTCTTTTTACTTTGATAATGGACTGATTCATCTGAATCTCATAAGCATTGTTTATTATTTTGTGTTCATTCTCATCAATGATAAACTTCATCTAGCTTCAGTTTTATGATATTTCAAATTATGGTTCATTGGTTATTTGTTTTTGTTTCCTTCAAGAACATAGGTTCAATATTTGATTGTTTCCTTCAAGAACATAGGTTCAATATTTGATTGTTTCTTTCAAGCACACTATTTTGATTGTTGCTGTTGCAAGTTCAAGTCAAACATTTTTGTTGATCAATTTCATTTGTCTCCTTTATTATCGGCTTTAGTTCACGTTTTAAATATCCGAATTGTGTTGAAGAATTAATGAACATTGAATCATCTAGAGTATCATACAGCTATACTGAACAAATTTGCATTTTGATTTTAGGATCTTCAAGTTAATATAATAATAACTGTCATAATTTTGTATTACTTGAACATATCAAAGATTATATAGTACTATTACTTCTTATTGAGTTTCTTGTAAGATTCCAACTTGCAAGCATGATGTGACTGTAAGCAAACTAAAAATAAAAAATGTGCAATGGATTAAGTGCAGTTCCTGAGCTGTATACGTTTGGATAAGCACTATTATTTGGGAAGATAGTTGAGTTGTGGTGGCCAAACTAGGTTGGCGTATGGAACCAAAAGTGTAGACAGCTGGGGAGAAGTTGAGTTCGATGTTAGCAAGAAGAAGAAAATAATTGCACGTGTAGTGCGGAATGGATGAATAATTGATTTGTTGGTTTTCCACTCAATAATTTAGTTTTTCAATACTATCTATTGGTCATAAATAAAATTATCCCTCTTCTAAAATCAATGATAGTTTAACCACTAAAATTTACTTTGTAGGGAAGAAAGTGTAAACAAATGATAGTTTAGTCACTAAAATTTACTCTAAAAGGAAGAAAGGAAGAAAGTGTAAATAAATGTGAAGAAAGTTTGGAATAATGTGTAAATAAATATGAAGAATGTTTGGAATAAGTATGAAAAATGTTTGGAATAAAAGATTTACAGCGTAATTATATTCATTGATCCGATTTATTGGTTTAACAATTCTTAAGAATTAAAACTAATAATTAATTTTATTTCAGTTTGATTTGATTTGAATTATTGATTTAATTGATTTTTTCTGATCCACTTACCTCTAAATATATAAGTATATGTTAAAAAAAACTTGTATCAAAATGAATGATATATTTAAATTCTTAATATAATTTTTTATTGTACAATTTGATTAATATTTGCATTTTCTTAATTTAATAATTTTTGTATTTTGTATTTATATGCAATGTGAAGACACTAAAATTTTATTTATATATATATATATATATATATATATATATATATATATATATATATATATATATATATATATATATATATATATATATATATATATATATATATATATATATATATATATATATATATATATATATATATATATATATATATATATATATATATATATATATATATATATATATATATATATATATATATATATATATATATATATATATATATATATATATATATATATATATATATATATATATATATTGTGTGTGAAATGGTCAATTAAATCAATTATTTAAGAACATATTGAATTCTTTTTAATAGCAAAATCAATTATTCTTTTTTAGAATACATAATTATTAATTTTAGATATTTAGTAACTAAACAAGTGTCAAAAGCAGGGATGATAATAGGTAGGGTTTGGGTAGAGTACTGTGGTACCCGTTCCCATACCCACAATTGAAAAAAAATCCTCATACCCGCTTGAGTACCAACACTAGCGCCCGTACCTTATGGATATATAAGTGTTCGTACCCGTACCCGTTACCCGCATTTTTTATAAAAATAAATATATCAATTATAGAATATCATATTATTTTAAGTTTTTAACTAACATTAAAAAGTTTTTAAAAAAATTTACTGTTGGATTATGAAATAAAATATCACTTATATTAAATATCTAATAGTTTAAAATTTATTTATTTTAAAAATTGATACACATTTATTTTTATATAATAATATAAATTAAAATATATAATTTTATATTGTGCGGGTATGGGGCGGGGTGAATATACACATTTATTTCTATATAATAATATAAATTAAAATATATAATTTTATATTGTGCGGGTATGGGACGGAGTGGGTACTAAGGTGCTCATCGCCACACCCATCCCCGCTTATTTAAGTGAGTAATTACCCGGATTCGTGCCCATACCCATGTTTATGGGTTTTTACCCTATTCATTGTGGGTATTTTTGTAGGTACCCACTGAAGATGGGTCAAATTGTCATCCCTATGTTGACTCTTAATTTCGACGCCTGAATGAGATTAAAAGTAGGAAATAAATTTTCTGAAGAAATTTAATGACTTCGACTGAAGCCATATTTTTGGAATATGAGTCGAAGGCGTCCTTTCGCTAGGAGAATCCATGTTACGGGTTTAGAGATATTTCTTAGCAGTTGGAAGATTCGATTCGACAGAGGTGCCACTAAAGGCATTTCGACAGGAAGGTTTGAATTCAAATAAAGAAGGGAAAGTTCATTCTCATCCATTCCCCAAAGAAGACATGTGGAACGCTTCTAGGGATCGAAGGCATACAGAGCGCCACTTGTCTCGATTTCGTTTGCTAGCCGTTAATGGTAGTTATTTCTAATTAGTATAAATAGCAAGTCTTAGTGTTAGGATTTGTGTGTGTTCAATAGTGTAAAAATTCTTCAGTATACTCCAAGTACCTGTGTGTTGAGAAAAACGAGTTTGTAAGAATGTACGTTGATGTAACACCATATTTTCATTTCAATGCAATTTAATAAATATTTTTCCTTAAGAATTTATTCTTTCTTTATACAAGTTCTTGTCTTCATCATTTACCAGTACTTCGATTTTACTTCTTTTCACCCAAATCCATTTACATTTGAGATAAGTCATTTTATCATGAACTCTGTCGAAGTGTTAATTGTTTTTATAAACTTTATTTAAGATCAATTAGCACATGTCCTAGGATTTGTGTGGTCGATCCTGCAAGTAAAACATATCTTTTTCGATTTGTAAGACTAGCGGTTATTCACCAATTTCACGGCAAACAAATTGGTACGCACAGTGGGACAGTGCTAATTGATCATAAAATTTGCTTCAAAAATTTTGAAAATTTATTAGTTCTGCGTTCAACTTTTTCTTTGAAAATCTTCGTTGCATGTTATTAAGAAGTGGTAAAGTAGCCACCGCTAACGAAGATAGAACAAGAAGAAGATATAGGAGGAGAATGGAGACAAATTCAAACCATCCAAATATTCCTCAGGATATGCCTAATAATAATATAGAACAACCCATAGGATCTTCGACAGGAGGACCAACGGTCTCAACGTCTGTCTCTGAAGCAATTCCATCAATGGGAAGTTCGATACCTACATTTGATTGCCCAAACACAACCTATGCTGACTTATATTAGGGAAAAGGGTCCTCCACTGACTCCACCACTAATAGAGGCTTCAATATTCAGAAGCACCCCTCCTCCTGAATTTTCAATACCTTTGCCTCGAGACCCACCCTATGGAATGCAAACTTCAATGATGGAAAACTTACAAAACGCCCCTCTGTTATATACAGAACCCGTAATGACTTCGCCATTATAGGGATTTGGCTCTGGGGCAAATATTGGTTGAAATAGTAAAAATTTAGGAATAGGGTATTCAGCCCAAATGCCAAATTTGACAACCAGTTTTGCATCATACTTGAGACAACAAATGGACAAAAGTAACCTTCAAATGGTCCAAATGATGTCCCAAACTATGGGGGAATTTTTCCAGCCCCTTATTTAGGATACTACCCAAACTAATCAACAATTAGCAGCGCAAATGACGCGCCTTGTAAAATTCTCTGGTGTACCAAATCCCCATCGACAACCATCGGGGGAGTATACGATAGAAAACCAATGGGTAGTTTTCGACGAAGACACCACCATTAACCAAATTCAACAAAATCCGGGAAATATACCTCAGGCAAATCAAAACAACCAGGGAATGATCGAACGACCTAGAGTCGAACCCCCTAGGAATCAACCACAAATTCCTAGAGAAGAAGAATCAAGGGTAGTTTTGGTAAATAGGAATAAGGATGCTGAAAACGTTGTAAAATAAGTTTGACGTAACAACCTAGTAGCAGACAACAATTTGGCTGCCATGGTCGAAAGAATCATGACACGTAAGAGAGTAAATTTTGGCCTTCGACGGCCAAATTATATATCACTGTCATCTGAGTACATTCTTCAGTCAGATTTACCCCTAAGAACGAAGGTTCCTAAGTTTATTAAGTTTTCTGGGGATACTACTGAGTCCACTGTCGAACATGTGGCTAGGTATTTGATAGAAGCAAGAGACATTTTGAATAATGAGAACCTTAGGGTAAAATATTTTCCAAGTTCTCTTACAAATAACGCTTTCATTTGGTTCACAACCCTGCCTCCAAATTCAGTTCATAATTAGACCCAGTTAGAACGTTTGTTCCATGATCAGTTCTACATGGGACAAACAAAGATTAGTTTGAAGGAATTGGCTAGTATAAAATGAAAGTTTACTAAGCCAATAAATGATTATTTGAATA